AAGTTTTCATTTAATGGATTCAATGAATGTGTGAGAGCAAAGACGTTTTAAAATGTTAAAAGATTTTTATTCAAAATAAATGCTGTTGTTTTGACTTTCTATTTATTAAAGAATAGAGTTGAAGGGGCGTGACGTCACCGTCGGCCGGACTCGGAGTGCCTGCAGTTCCTCACAGTGAGTGGCAAAAAGACTGAGCGGCTGTATTTGGTATCAGCGTGAATGCTGCGAAAAACAAACACAACACATATAAAGTGTGAAAGAGCTTTGCGATTGACTGTACAACTAGATTTGACAGAAAATCGGAGGCATATTTGTACAGACTGCGATAGAAAGAGGAGCAAATGGATCGCTGCAATTCACAGAAATAACTGGACTCCAGTCAGCCAAAGGTGGATTTGCAGTTATCATTTTGTGTCAATATGCTACACCATACCGTTATATATATTAACAACTCAATTAAATATTTATCATTGGATATTCTGCATTATTGGATGTTTTTAATAAACACTGACCAAAAAAAAAACTATACGTTTTAGGGCTGGACGATATGATGATATATATAAGCTATATATAACACTGATATAAGTGATCACCCGGATTTAGACCTACCTATATTGTATTTATTGAAAGCATTCACAAGCAAATTAGCTTTATGTTTAGGTCTATATTGCTTTTATTTCCTCGGTGTCGAAATCAGGCAAACATAAATTTCAGGCAACACGATTCCTGGCTGCATGTCAATATCCATGGATCACTGGATCTTTAGTAAGTTGTAAGGAACACTATATTGAGTCCAACATTTAGTTTAAATTAGGGCGGTGCAAAAATTAATTGCGATTAATGGCATCCAAAATAAAAGTCTGTGTTTACATAATATATTTGTGTGTGCTGTATATAATTATTTTGTATATATAAATACACACACATGCATCTATATATTTAAGAAAATGTGTTATTCATATATAAAATATTTATATTTATATAATATAGATTATTATTTTGTATATATAAATACACACACATGCATCTATATATTTAAGAAAATGTGTTATTCATATATAAAATATTTATATTTATATAATATAGATTATTATTTTGTATATATAAATACACACACATGCATCTATATATTTAAGAAAATGTGCTATTCATATATAAAATATTTATATTTATATAATATAGATTATTTTTATATATATATATATATATATATATATATATATATATATACAGAATTTAAGCGCAAATAATTCTTAAATATATACATGCATGCATAGGTATTTATATATACAAAATAATTATATACAGCACACACAAATATATTATGTAAACACAGACTTTCATTTTGGATGCGATTAATCGCAATTAATTTTTTGCACAGCCCTAATTTAAATTGATCAAATTGTTCGTTTTAGTCGCATTTTCGCAGTTTCCCCTATTAAATCCAGTCACGCAGCAGATCTTTTGCCACTCAGTCAGGCTTGTTCCGGCGGGAAAGTGACGTCAATGCATTCCCTCTATACTGAAAACACCACTAAGTGTTTCGACATTGATATTTTTTTCCTAATTTCTGAAGGGTCATGTCACACCGAAGACTGGAAAAATTATGCTGAAATTTCAGCTTTGATCACAGGAATAAAATCTATTTGGATAGCAAAAGAGTCATTTTAGCTTAGTTTTTACTGTATCAAGTAAAAGCGTCCCCGCTGGGCAGAAGAGACTTTCAAAACACATCTTACACTACCAACTCCAAACTTTTGAATGGTAGTGTAGAAATGAGTCACAAAAGCTATTATAAATACAATGGCTTCATTCAATATCTTCTACATGGCGAATGCCACGAAGTTGAATCATTTGATTGGTTAGGATGGTTGTAAGGGAGGAGTTTGTGCACGTCTTTAACGAGGCTGATGGCGACTGATAGTTGAGTTTGTGTAACGCCGAGTCACACATGGTTTGTGTTACACCAGAAAACCACAAGTAAGGCTCTCTGGGTCAAAGCACTTGTTTTTGTTCAGCTTTCGGACCCATCCCTTCCTTGAAAAGAAAACACAAGCTTTGTGCAGGACGTAATTACACGGCATGTTTTTCAGGATTGGGATGGCGTTTGATGAGTCCCACCGGAGTTGTCAAGCGTAGTTACGGCTTCTCCCTCCCTTGTTATTGGTTGCAGGTGAAGTGGGCGTCCCACGAGGAGAGCGACAGGTCCGTGTTCGGGCACGCTCTTGGCTTCGAACGCAGCGTCACCCTTTTTATTCTTAATATCAAAGTGAGCGGATTATTTACTCAGCTGAGAGCGTTATTCAGCGGCTGCGAGTGACTGTTCTGTGTCGGCTTATAATAGCGTATTCACAGAGCAGGAGTCAAAGGAGAGTTTGAAAAGAAAAGCCGCTTCTGCTCACCATCAGAGAAGTCACGCAGGTCGATTCATTGCGTTTGTTTCAAGTGTTCATTCATCGAGGTGTCTTCTGATGTGTGTTGTGTTCTTGATGTCTTTCAGCGGAGTATGGAGGGATTCTGGAAGTCCGTGGCACGTACCGTTCCCAGAGAACCGGAAGACATGCGGATCCTGAACCCGTATTTCATCCAGGAAGCAGCCTTCAGATTCATCGGTCTTCCACATAATAAAGGCCTCATGGGAAGAGGGGTGAGGCGCAAACACATTCATTTAAGCAGTCAATTCCCGAGAAAGCCAGCATTCATTGCTATAGACCCCTTTTGCGACGACGTCACAGTTACGTCACGGCGCTAGCTGGAGGCAAAACAAAGTGAAAACTGGAGGCGGCCGATACAAACCAGCACAGATTCGGCTACATAATAAGGAGCTTAAATAATTGTTACTATTATTAAATGTCATCTTGTTGTGTTGTTTGGTGCAAGAATTGATGAAAAATGAATATGCTGTATCTGGAACTTTTATTTCTAGAAAATATTCACATCATTAAAATCACACTGTAATGTCACTCTTTACATTGTCGTGGTCTCGGCGCTGGCTCGGCAGAACTGCGGATCGTACACAAGTCTTGTGCAGGACCAAATAGGCATCTAAAGATTTATATGCCCTCAGTTTCTCTTTACGATCGGTTTCTCTATAAGGTAGGTGTAGAAATCAGGCCACTCAACCGAGGTAACGTAACGTTAATCCTGTCAGATCGTCCATGCATTGAGTGAGCTTGTGAAGGCTATGGGTCGGCCAATCTGGTTCTGTCCGTTAAAAATAACTTTTGGAAATAACAATCGCGGTCCTGGACACTGAGTGACCTTACACATTAAGATAATATCGGATTTTCTCCAGTCATTGTTAAAAAACAAGCTAATAAAGCTTGCTAACTAGCGTTAGTGAAGCGGCCAGATGGATCTTTCTGCCTCCACCTAAGCTCCGCCCACAAAAAAACGTCACCATGTTTACCAATTGTAAAAGGGTATATTAGGGCAATAGCAAGATAGATATGGCTTACCTTAAGTTAAGGCACTGTTTACTCCTGGGGCCAGTTGCATAAACATAGCCATTATGTTAAGACAGTGTCTTAAGAACTAGTTTGACCAACTAGCAGTTAGTTAGGGGTAATCCGTCTTGCTGTTCGGTATCAAATTAGTCAAAAATGTACATTTTTATGTAACTAACTTTACAAAGTTTTGAACAGTCTTGAAGAAAAAAATTGGATGACTAATGCCAGTATGTTCATACTACATGATTTTAAAACGTCGGGCTGAACTGTGCGGTTCACACTACATGACTTTCTCTCAGTGAAATCAGGAGTGTTCAAGTTGTTGAGCTGTTCACACCACACGACACAACGTGATTGATCCACAACAGGAGGTAACTCACTACACGAGTTGACAACGAACGATTCTATCTTGTCTACAAACCACGTTTTGTCACGAAAAATCACACGATTAGACGGACCGCATTACGCAAAACAGCACGTGCATCAATACTAGGGCTGGGTATTGATTTCGATTCACAAGCTTGCAATTCGATTCGATTTCGATTCAATATCGATTATTTTGGATATCAGTTACAATAAATGGCAAATTTTCTCAAGGAAATCAAATCTCTTAACTAATGCTGTAACTAGTTGTAGCCTATAGGCTTCATTAGCCTAATATGAAGGTAATAATGAACTGTTTTGTAGCTATACAAACACTTAAATTACACTTTTATTTATTTTTATAATAAGAAGATTATATGAAACATAAACATTTAAATGGTGGCTGTCATAAAAACTTGCCAGATTTATTCAAATATGCATTAAATATTGAAGAACATTAAGATTATAATGCATATGTAATATGGCGTATATATTTAGCAAAGTGCTCCTCTCGAGAGTTTTTTTTTCTGTTTACCCTCTGCTGTCATGGAGACGAGTGTTTGAGGGGCTCGAGCTGTGATGCGTTTCCTGTTATCAGCATGCAGGCGGAGTGTCTGGAGCAGGATTAGCCTAAAGAGTTTGTGGTGATAAGACTTTCACCATGACACTCGTCTCCCTGATGGATCTAGTGGTGACTGGATGATCCCTCTCTGCTGATAAACACACACACACACACACACACATCTCCTGCTCTCACTGTTTCTCTGATAAAGTCGGTCACACGCTGCATTATCTGCACTGAAGTGTGTGAGCAGTGCACTCAACGGTAGCATTCAGTCCATCCATGGCTGTTCAGTGTTGCACATCCATGTCCAGTCATGCATTTAATCTTACAATTAACATGGATGGCAAAGAATAAAAACGTGATTGTTTCATCATTAATAGAAATTGACTACCTGAGTATAAATAAAAGACATTTTGCAGCTGAATTATTTTACCCTGATGCATTACTTTTGCACAAACAATATAGTTGCATGCATAGATATCTACATAAAGGCTAGATATGTCGTCCACGCTGCTGGCCAATGGAGGTCGACGTCTGCCCCTGGCGGCCATCTTGTCACAGGCAGCTCGCTCACTCGTTACATTGTGTTAATGGTACACGTACTATTAAAATAACCATAACTTGCTCAATTTTCTACCGATTTTCAAACGGTTTGGTTTGTTATAATCGTCAGATGTAGTTATGACACAGCATACTTATGAATAATAAGTTTATAACTAAATAATCATCCAGATAATTATAGCCACGTTAATAACGTTTGTAAGAAACCAAACCGTTTGTAAATCCGTCAAGATTTCATCGAGATAAGAGTATTTGTGTTCGTGTTGACCACTCGTGTTGACAAGATGGCCGCCGGTGATGACGATAGAAACTCCGCCTTAAGACATCTAGCCTTTATATAGATATCTACTGTATGGTTGCATGTTGCAAAATAAGGTGGATAGCTTGCAAGTAAGCTATTTTCTGTGAATGAACAATAACTAGAAGAATGATGCTTTAATAATTACGACAATACATTAAAATAATATGATAAGAAATATCAAGCAGCACAACAAGCTGTTTTGTACAGCTAAAAAATAACTGGAAGCGGATGAGACCGGAAGCCAGACATGTTCAATTTACAAATGGATGTGAATCGTCTTTATTTGTGCAACTCTTTTGAGTGAAATTGGGTAATTTAGAAAATAGGTTCTCTGAAACATTCACTTACGCATTCATTTACTTACTTAATCTGAGTTTTAACATTTTTAGTTCCAGTTCAGTCTCAAAAAAACTCTTTTATCTTAATGTGTCTTTAACTTGAGTCATTTTCTGTAAAGCTATCATTGACTACACACACAAGTACATGTATGACTACTGAGTACTTCACTAAATACTAATTAACTTGTAATACTAAGCGTTTTATCTTCTTCAGAATATTCCTACATTGGGGACTGTTGCGATCACAATGGCCCTCCATAACTGCGACGAGGTGGCGGTGGCCGGATTCGGATACGACATGGATTCACCTCGTGCACCTCTGCACTATTACGAGAAGCTAAAGATGTCTGCAATCAAAGAGGTAACAACACCACTCTGACCCGATCTGAATGATTGATCGGTTCCAAAAAATATTAAAGAGCAATATTTGGAATTGATATTTAGGAAAAAGTTTACCTGAGGAATTCACCGCTTTTCCCAATAGGCATTTTTTACCTCGAACCCTGATGAATTTATGACAGCTGTCTTGTCATAGATAGCAAAAGAGTAGAGTAAAGTGTCTTGTCGATGGTCTTTGGGAATATCCCATCCGTTGAGTCACATCCACAAACGGGTCACATGACCTCACGACTGCCGCTGCTCTCTGTTCCAGGAAAACGCAGAAACCCGAGAGGTTAGAGTAATGAGCCAGCATTGGCAGGTCGAGCTGTGTGTGTGTTCTCTGCAGTTTCACTGTTGATTGATACTGTCGCTTGCCAAGCTATTCATCAAGTGGATGAATATGAAACTAACCAGCAATCAACAATGAGGATTTCTGCTTGTCCAGACCTGTAGGTTTACTTGCCTCATCACAAAAGAATCAACTTTTTTTTTTTTTTTTTACAAAAACAGAAAACAAAAATATGTGTACAATGTTCTGTCATGAAACCCTCGACCCTTTCAATCACATCATTCTCTATAGAGCACAGCTGATTGGTCCCTGTTGTATCAGTAGCCAATGACCTCACTGTTTAACATTTTAAATACTGGTCAGCATTTGCTGTATCAGTTTGCAGCGCGCATTCAGAAACCGTCCACCTTCCTCAGCTCCACCTGTATAGATCTGCTACGGGTAATTCATGTATGTTACATATTGTACAGCAACAGCTTGTCTTGTTTGTATTGGCAGTAGCAAGTCTCATACTTTCTCTGCAGCGTATAACGGCATCAGTAGCAGCAAAAACAGCATCTGCTGCAATAACAGCAACACTTTTCAGATATATTCATGTTCATTCAAAAATATCAACATTGTCATGTCCATTACCATGGCAAATACTCATGACAGAAATATATTCAAAAAAATTTTAATTCATCTTCACAAAATGTGGTTTATTCACTAAAATGATTTTTTTTTTTTACAAAACAAAAAGATTTGCTTCTAAAATCTGGAAATTAAACTGCTGTATTGCAACTTGATCATTAACTCGTAATAAATTCATAGACACTTTTGCCACACAATATGCAAAAGCATATGATTGTTGGCAAGTTAGAAAACGTTATATTGATGACAAATCACTTCAGCAGAACATGTGTAAAGTAAATAACAGAAAACCAAATGCTTAAGACATGCATGTACAAGATTTCATTTTTAGTAGCAAAAAGAAAATATGTAAAAAAAAAATGCATTATCTTTTATTTATTTTTTTTTGAAAACACAATATTGGATTTTAAGACGAAATAATGAAGTGAACTACCTATTCAACACACCCATGTTGTGTGAAACCAGCTCTATTTTCAGGTCTACTATATTTTTTCATTGTGTATTTAGCATGTACATTTTATATCTTAACAGAAGTATAGATGGATGATTCAGCTTAAAGGACTTGGTCACTTTTAAAAAAAACTTTTGCTGATAATTTACTCACCCCCATGTCATCCAAGATGTCCATGTCATTCTTTCTTCAGTCGAAAAGAAATTAAGGTTTTTGATGAAAACATTCCAGGATTTTTCTCCATATAATGGATTTCAATGGGAACCAAACGGTTCAAGGTCCAAAAGACAGTTTCAGTGCAAACTGCAAACTGTTCAAAGGGCTTTAAACGATTCCAGACGATGAATAAGGGTCTTATCAAGCGAAACGATCGCTCATTAAATAAATAAATAACAAAGTTTAAGTTTTATAAGCTGAAATGGTCACCTTGCTCTGTTCTGTGATGTGCGTTCGTGACTCTCCTGTTCAAAATCAAAATGAACGAATCTTTTTTTGAGTCATTTGGTTCATTCAACGAACGAATTGACTCGAATTGAATTTTTTTTTTTTTTTTTTTTAAATGACCATTATTCATCGTCTGGAATCGTTTAAAGCCCTTTGAACAGTTTGCAGTTTGCACTGAAACTGTCTTTTGGACCTTGAACCGTTTGGTTCCCAGTGAAATCCTGGAATGTTTTCATCAAAAACCTTAATTTCTTTTCGACTGAAGAAAGAATGACATGGACATCTTGGATGACATGGGGGTGAGGAAATTATCAGCAAAAGTTGTTTTTTAAAAAGTGAACTACTCCTTTAAATTACAAATTCGAAAAACAAATGTGCAGAAATCAGTTGATGGCACCATATTTCATTGTGATAGTTGTGTAGTGTGGTATGACAGACTGTCGTTTTACATGTTTACTAGAGGTGGACCGTCCAAACTTCTTTTGCGGGTTGTGAAAACAAAAGCGAAGCTGCAAGTGTAGACGTCATGTCTCTATTGAGCGCAGCACGTGACAAACTCTTGATGACCGTTTGCTCCATTGTGCTCTTTCTGTTTCTTTTTCTCTCACACAAACCCAGTCATGGACACACAACATATCCAAAGAGAAGGAGTTTCTCCGGAAGCTGGTGATGGGGGGCGTTATTGAGGACCTGACCAATGGGATCTGACGGTACATCCCGGTCATACAGCTGATAGATGGTGTTATTCACCGGATCAGAGTGGTGACTGACGGCCATCCCAGCTGATGTGAGCCGGAGGAAGTGACCTCACATCATATGCTGCAATGGTATCCATGGCAACCTTACCTCAATCATGTTAACGCTTGATTTTAGGATGCCTCACAGACCAGAGTCCGTCCCTACGCGCTACAGCTATCCGACAAAGACTGGAAACGTGCTGCTTTCTCCTGGCTTTGACTCCACGGCAGCCGCTGTGAACCAGATTCACTATTTATTTTAGACAGTATTTTAATCACCTTCATTTAAGATGCTTTATTTTTTAAGCCAAGACAACGTTAATGCTTTGGTACTGTTCTGTTGTCTTCAATCTCAGGCTATGCACATCAGCACAGTGTTCAACTACACAACCAATGATTGTCACCTAATGAGTTTCTGCTGCTCGTCTGATCTGTGCCATTTAAATCAGTATTCACTTGTTTCCTGCACTTTCCACATGTATATCACTCTCCGTGTGTAACCAGATCCTGAGGCCAGATTAAAGTATTGTCAATATTTATACATTCAGTCTGAAAAGGGCTTTTCATTTCAATTTCTGACTGTGTGATAACGCATTTAGTCAAATTTCATGATTCTCGATACAAATAATGATATATTTTAATGATTCAATTTAAATGCGTGCACAATCCACAAGGGAATTACTTTTGAACTGTAAGCTACAGTGTTAAAAACTATCAGCCTGCAGTATTTCAAATTATTTTTTAAATAATCACATTAAACAGTGGAATTCCTGTTGAAAACTACAGTACCCATGATTCTGCACAGAAATCTCCACCAATCAGAGAATCGAAACAAACGAATTGCACCAAGAACTCTTAAGTGCCGCCCACTCCCATTAAGCACTGTAAGTGATGAGTGTGTGCACAAAGGAATTGTAGTTCTTTCCCTCATGTTCTCAGTCTTGGCTGGTTTGATTCATGGCTTATAACTCTAACAAAGACTTAAAAAACGAAAATTATGAACAATGAATGAAAAAAACCCTTCGTAAACAAGGCTGCTGAAAAAGTGGCTCGCCACTGTGTCATATTGAACATATTGAAAAGCCAAGCTCTGATTGACTATCCAATGTTCTAAGAAAGTTATTTCTAATGTTCTCGGAACGTTCAAAGCATCCCGTTTGTTTATTTTTAATGTTTAAAGTGAAAAAGTGAACATTCCGTTTGATCATTCTTCAAACACGATGGGAATGTTACTTTTGAATGTTCTCGGAACATTCTCAAACGAGAGCTGTAACATTTAAAAAATGCAATGTAAAACAGCTTCATTAATGATGTGTTTGTGCTAACGTTATTAAATGACAGGGAACAAACATTGTATTAATGTTACTGGAAGAACGTTTGTTCATAAGTTGCCGGAATGTTCCGTTAGCCGGGATATATGTTGGCACGCTGCCTGCGCTTGTGTTCTTTCTAACATCATGTTTATGGACAGCTCATGGTTAGCATTTAAACTTCCACCTGATCAACCTGCTTTCAAACAAACAGTTGTGTTTATGTGTCGGCGGAAGCTCGTCTCATGACTCACGCGTGCGGACTGGTTTCAGGGTCCTTGTGCCGAAAGGTTAATGGAAGTATTGGGGCCGTTCCTGGAAATCCCTCAGTACGTTTCCCGAGATCAGTGACTTTCCCGTCAGACAATCTGAGAGCAGAATCCACTGCTTTCCATTGAGAATCATCATGTAGCGACTTACAGAATGAGATTGTAGTTTTTCATGTGTGGTTCATCAGATGTGGGTATGACTGCTCTGCTGTGTGTTTACTCTTCATTCTGTGTCAGGCTGTGGTCATTTAACTGAGGCTTTGAATCTAAAGACACTTTCAGAATGGCTGTATGACAAACATCCTAACTCTGAATCATATCCTGTTTTAATAACCATAACTTCACTGCATAGAACTAGGAAATTAGCTTTTATGTTTGTTTAGATTTTCTCCTTTATTATTCATTTGTATATGTTTCTTGCACAAAATGTCATTCTTTAATGTATTTATTTAATTTATTAACTTATGTAGATTCAGTATATGAATAATTACATTATCAGAAGTTTCTTCTGCTCACCAAGGCTGCATTTATATGATAAAAAAAAATACAGTAAAAACAGTAATATTGTGAATATTATTACAGCTTAGAATAACGGTTGTGATTTAAATATTTTCTACTTAAAGTTGAATTTTCAGCATCAGTGTCACATGATCCTAATATGATGATGCTGAAGAAACATTTCTGATTATTATCAATGTTGAGAAAAAAAAGTCCACAACACTGTTTTTTTTTTTTTAAAGAACAGCATTTATTTGAAATGGAAAACTTTTGATCAATGTGATGTGTCGTTGCTGTATAAATGTATTATTTTCTTATAAAAAAAAACATATTTTTGCAAGATTTTTGAATAGTAGTTTTTGTCAGAAAAGGAAAAACATTTTATTCTAAAGCCATATTTGCCCTCATGTTTTGATATGTTAGTGCATTACTGTGACTCGGTGGCATTTTCCTGCTAGATCGTGTAGAACATGCAACAACAACAAAAAAAAAAAGCAAAATCCTTGGTTAAAAGATTTTAATTGCGAATTCCGATGGATTGAATTGTGACTTTGAAATGAATCAACCCAAAGTACTCCCTAAAATCCTGAAACACCGTCCTTGAGATTCTTTCGAGGTTGTAACATTTTGATTGATACAGTGACCAGAGGACCTGGATGCTTCATAGCTGAATGTACACTGGAAAAAATCCTGTTAAATTTACAGTAAAGACCTGGCAGCTGTAGGCAGAAATCCACTGTAAAAACAGCACTTCTTAATGTTTGTTTGTGTTATTAATGAACATTGTAAAGTGTTACCAGATGTTATTTTAATTGCCATGTTAACAGTGAAACCTGGAATGTAAATCTTTCGAACGGCCTTTTAAACACGGATTCAGCGGCTGTGGCGTTCAGAGAAGATGCCTCGCTCCTCGTGACCTTGACCTTCGACCTGTGACGCTGCGCTCAAACATCTGATGTGCTTGCGGTGCAGTAAATAACACACAGATTTAGAAAGTAGAGTGAGATCACAGACAGTTTGAGCTATGGACACAACAGGCAGGTGTCTCCTATTTAAAGACAATCCTTGACCTGGGGTTTCAGAGCTGAAGAAGTGAACGGAGGGCTGTTATTGGCTCCGACAGGTGTGTGTGTGTGTGTCCATGTAGGTGGGCCTTCGTGACACGGCTGTGATGGAGAGGTCACTTCCTGACGGCTTCACACTCCGCGGAGCAGAGTTGAGCAGGTTTTGGTTACACGAGTGTTTTACATGTGAAGTTTGACTGAAGGCCGGTGTGTGTCGTGTTTTGGAGCTCTGTCTGTGAAGAATCGCTCTGCTTGGGCTTTATTCTTTCCGACAGGTCATCGACTCGCACCCTCTCTTTTAAGACTTGACTGGAAAACACACCTACGGCAGCGTCCGCTGGGTCACATGCAGCAATTTCTGCATTTGACCCAAATTTATATTATATTCAATTTATTAATTAAATTAAATTTATATATTTATATTAAATGCATGTGCATTTAAATAAATATATATATATATATGCATGCATTTTAATATATATATATAATATAAGTGCACACATATACAGTGCTGTCAAATCGATTAATTGCATCTAACATAAAAGACTGTTTATATAATATGTGTGTGTGTGTATTATTATATGGGTACACATTATATAAACAAACTTCTATGTTAGATGCGATTAATCGATTTGACAGCACTAATACATGCACATATGATATATATATATATATATATATATATATATATATATATATATATATATATAAGGGCTGTCAAACGAAGTTTGTGGTTACATAATATATGTGGATGCACTGTGTATAATTAAATATGAATACACACACATGCATGTATATTTATGAAAAAAATATTATTTATATATAAAATATTTATAATTATATATAATATAAATTATATATAAATCTATATACAGTATATGCATTAAAATATTTCTTAAATATATACAGTACAAGCATGTGTGTGTGTTTTTATATATTTATAAAATAATTATACACAGTGCACCCACATATATTATGTAAACACAAATTTTTATTTTGGATGCGATTAATTGTTTGACAGCCCTAATATATAAAAAAATATAAAAGTTTTAATGAATTTTTTTTTTTTAGTATATTATAATATAAAACTGATAATATGAAACAAAAGCCAGTAATTAAATTTAAGATTTAAAAAAAAAATCTAGTTCTAGGTCTTCAGTGGGTCCTGGGTATCAAAAAGCATGAAAACACCCTGTCTGTCTGTATTTATTTAAAATACTATTCATTTACTCAATCTTCATATCACTCTAGTTCATGTAGTTTAATTTTCAGGGCGCTCGTCGTCAGATGTAGTTTAACTGTTCCCTGTAAAAGCCCCGGTCCACTGTCTCGTACCGAGAGAGGAAGATGTGAAGATAAAGGTAGCATTTGAGGCTCTTCTGGGAAGCCAAGCGTGTGTGTGTGTGTGTGTGTGTGTTTACCTCAGTGTCAAGCATCCTCTCTATGTGCTGCTACATTCTCTGGCTGGACGAACTAAATATAAACTCTAGCCTTGTTTGCTATATCGTGTTAGTTTACATTTTGTCTGAAAGAGCTCAGCGTGTTCTGTTTTCAAGCGGGAATATCTATTTCTCGAATATTTCTTCTTCTGCTGGTGGTTTACTTTACTGCCTGTGTTCGAATTAGGGTTGAGTATCGAGTATCGATTGGAACCGGGACTAACTTTTCGTTTTTCCCGGAATCGTTCAAAAGTTAAACAGTCCGCTGAGCGGAAGAAGAAACCGCTGAACAACATCAAGAAGAAGCGTCTACCGGAAGTGTTGGCATAACCGCGCGAGTCGAAAACGAGTAGCTTACGTCGGCGGTCCAAAGTGTGGCTTCACTTTTCTAAAAATTAACGAAATCTCGGCAAAATGCAAAATTTGTGACAGAAGGAGTATTTCCTTCAGAAAGACCGTTGGTTAGCAAGGTTAGCTAAACTTTTTTGACCCTGCCTCTTAAAAGAATCGAAATCGAGAATCGTTAGGAACCGGAATCGAAACAAGGAATCGGAATCGGAATCAGAATCGTTCAAATTCAAACGATACCCAACCCTCGTTCGAATGAAGGTTTTGTTGTAATTATTACCCTCGCATTTAAATCACAGACTGTGATGAACTAGATGTTTCTGATTTGTGGTTTTATTAGCATTAGCCTATTAGTGTTTGCTAAGAGACTTGCTCATATTTTGACACAATACCGTTCAAAAGTTTGTTTTTGAAAGAGTTTTTTTTTAATGTAAAACAGTAATATTGTGGAATATTATTACAAATTAAAATAAGTTTTATTTGTGAATATATTGTATAATTTAATTTATTCCTGTGATCAAAGCTGAATCATTATCAGTCCAGTCGTGTCACATGATCCGTCATAAATGGTTCTAATATGCTAATTTACTGCTCAAGAAACTTTTTACCATTATA